TCACTTAGCAGACGCTTTTCTCCAAAGCGATGTACATCAGAGAGTAAGTACAACACAAGCAAGGATCTAGACAAAAGGGAACAATGTGAGTAAGAGCAAACGATCAGCTTTGAGTCTGATTGGACACACAGGTGCTGACAGGAAGTGACCAGAGGCAAAGCACAACATTGAGGGCAGTTCTTGAGAGCTCTAATCAGTATAGAAACCATCTTATAAGTCGTGGTTATCAAACAGAAACCATCATCATTACCATCATCATCATCAATGATATGGAGACCATCATCATTAAGTTAGTAGGTATTCATGAAAGAGCTGGGTCTTTAGCTTTTTCTTAAAGGTGCTTCTTCTTCTTCTGCAGAGCCAATGGAGTTTGGAAGTTCATTCCACCACCGGGGGGGGGGGGGGGGGGGGGCGACCAATTAATTGGACAATCAACAAAAAAAAATGTTGGCAACAGCTTTCAGTTCCTTTTGAATGAGGAGATTTTCTGCATTTTTTCAGTTCTGGGAAACGTAAATCAAACGTAGATGTTTTGCATTTCAATGTGTATCGATGTGTTTTTGGGGGGATGGTTCTTACACACGTCACATCATCATGAAGAATATTTTGATAGTTTGAGATGCTGAAAAGCGAGGACGCTTACCTGGAAAATGATCTGTTATCAAGTCAATCATGAAAACAAATGTCTTAATTAAAAAATATGATGACTGGTGACCGTGGTGTTCACTGATGTGACACTGATTTACAAACATCACTTCATGCTTGAAATAAAAAGGACATGAAGTAAAGTTAACTTCTGCAGATGAAGGTCAGCTGTCCTGCTGCTCACTTAGATCAGCTGTTTGAACCCAGTCTCTGTTTAAAGGTCATGACCTCCTGATGACCTGCCAACCTGCTCTGTGTTGTTCACGTGACCCAAAATAAAAAAAAAATAAAAAAAATAAAATAAAAAAATACATAAATACATTAAAAAAACATTAAAAAAAACCAAAAAATACATAAATACATTAAAAAATAAAAAAACCCATAAAAAACAAAAAATGAATACATAAAAAAACCATAAATACATAAAAAAACCATAAATACATAAAAAAAACAAAAACATAAATAAAAAAACCATAAATAAAAAAAACATAAATAAAAATAAAAAACCATAAATACATAAAAAAAACCCATAAATACATTAAAAAAAAACCATAAATAAAAAAACCATAAATAAAAAAACCATAAATAAAATTAAAAAAACCATAAATACATAAAAAAACATAAATACATAAAAAATATAAATACATAAAAAATACATGAATAAATAAATAAAAACATAAATAAATAAATAAGTAAAAAAAAATACATAAATAAATAAGTAAGTAAGTAAATAACTAAATAAATACATAAATACATACATAAATACATAAAGAATAAATACATACATAAATAAATAAATAAATACATAAATAAAGGTGATGTGTTGTCCCCAGTTTGCCAGTTTCCAATCATTAACCTACCAGCAACGGGAAGGTGACATAAAACCAGTTCATCTCTGTTGAACTGGGATGTTTTAAGTTAAGGTGACCAGCAGTTAACTTCACCTCATCAACACATGACAGACAGAAAAGAGCAGGCTGTTAACGCTTCTTACCTGTTGTAATGCAGATGCTGAATCCAAAGATTTCCTCACCTGTAAAACGCTGTTTGTTAAGCTAACTGTTAAACACGCACCTGTCCTGCTGCTATGGCTAACACGTCACCGCGACGCTAAACCAGCTTTTCCTTCGTCCCACAAACTGTCCAGTCCGCTTATAAATCCGCGGAAATATTCCAGTTACCAGTTTCCATCTGGAGGTTTCGACATTTGGCGACAAAAAAGGCGAGTCGACACACTCACCTGTGCGGAAACGGGGACGGCTAGCTGATACTGAGGGCAGGTTGATGCGGGGAAAACGGTGCCTTCAGGGTCGACTCGGAAATTCCGGCGTTAACTTCCTCTGTTACCTAAAGTACGGAGGAGTATCAGGGCCGTGGAAATGTTTTTTTTTTTTTTTTTTTTTAGTTGTGACTTGTTTTCTCTGATTTATGAGTTTAAAATCAGAATTGTCAGGGTAAAAAACCGAATAAAAAATAAAAATAAAATTCAAGTGGTATCTTATAGTCTAAAATAGTATCTTATAATCTAAAATAGTATCTTATAATCTTATAATCTAAAACAGTATCTTATAGTCTTATAGTCTAAAATAGTATCTTATAATCTTATAGTCTAAAATAGTATCTTATAATCTAAAATAGTATCTTATAGTCTAAAATAGTATCTTATAATCTTTTAGTCTAAAATAGTATCTTATAATTTAAAATAGTATCTTATAGTCTTATAATCTAAAATAGTATCTTATAGTCTAAAATAGTATCTTATAATCTTATAATCTAAAATAGTATCTTATAGTCTAAAATAGTATCTTATAATTTAAAATAGTATCTTATAATTTAAAATAGTATCTTATAATCTAAAATAGTATCTTATAATCTAAAATAGTATCTTATAGTCTTATAATCTAAAATAGTATCTTATAGTCTAAAATAGTATCTTATAATCTTTTAGTCTAAAATAGTATCTTATAATTTAAAATAGTATCTTATAATCTAAAATAGTATCTTATAATTTAAAACAGTATCTTATAATTTAAAATAGTATCTTATAATTTAAAATAGTATCTTATAATCTAAAATAGTATCTTATAATTTAAAATAGTATCTTATAATCTAAAATAGTATCTTATAATTTAAAATAGTATCTTATAATCTAAAATAGTATCTTATAATTTAAAACAGTATCTTATAATTTAAAATAGTATCTTATAATCTAAAATAGTATCTTATAATCTAAAATAGTATCTTATAATTTAAAACAGTATCTTATAATTTAAAATAGTATCTTATAATTTAAAACAGTATCTTATAATTTAAAATAGTATCTTATAATTTAAAATAGTATCTTATAATCTAAAATAGTATCTTATAATTTAAAATAGTATCTTATAATCTAAAATAGTATCTTATAGTCTAAAATAGTATCTTATAATCTAAAATAGTATTTTATAATCTTATAGTCTAAAATAGTATTTTATAATCTTATAGTCTAAAATAGTATTTTATAATCTAAAATAGTATCTTATAATCTAAAATAGTATCTTATAATTTAAAATAGTATCTTATAATCTAAAATAGTATCTTATAATTTAAAATAGTATCTTATAATCTAAAATAGTATTTTATAATCTAAAATAGTATCTTATAATCTAAAATAGTATCTTATAGTCTTATAGTCTAAAACAGTATCTTATAGTCTTATAGTCTAAAACAGTATCTTATAGTCTTATAGTCTAAAATAGTATCTTATAGTCTAAAATAGTATTTTATAATTTAAAATAGTATCTTATAATCTAAAATAGTATTTTATAATTTAAAATAGTATCTTATAATCTAAAATAGTATTTTATAATTTAAAACAGTATCTTATAATTTAAAATAGTATCTTATAGTCTAAAATAGTATCTTATAATTTAAAACAGTATCTTATAATTTAAAATAGTATCTTATAATTTGAAACAGTATCTTATAATCTAAAATAGTATCTTATAATTTAAAACAGTATCTTATAATTTAAAATAGTATCTTATAATTTGAAACAGTATCTTATAATCTAAAATAGTATCTTATAGTCTAAAATAGTATTTTATAATCTTATAGTCTAAAATAGTATCTTATAATCTAAAATAGTATCTTATAATTTGAAACAGTATCTTATAATCTAAAATAGTATCTTATAGTCTAAAATAGTATCTTATAATTTAAAATAGTATCTTATAATTTAAAACAGTATCTTATAATTTAAAATAGTATCTTATAGTCTAAAACAGTATCTTATAGTCTTATAGTCTAAAACAGTATCTTATAATCTAAAATAGTATCTTATAATCTTATAGTCTAAAATAGTATCTTATAGTCTAAAATAGTATCTTATAATTTAAAATAGTATCTTATAGTCTTATAGTCTAAAACAGTATTTTATAATCTAAAATAGTATCTTATAATCTAAAATAGTATCTTATAGTCTTATAATCTTATAGTCTAAAATAGTATTTTATAATCTAAAATAGTATCTTATAGTCTTATAGTCTAAAATAGTATTTTATAATCTAAAATAGTATCTTATAATCTTATAGTCTAAAATAGTATTTTATAATCTAAAATAGTATCTTATAATCTTATAGTCTAAAATAGTATTTTATAATCTAAAATAGTATCTTATAATTTAAAATAGTATCTTATAGTCTTATAATCTAAAATAGTATCTTATAGTCTAAAATAGTAACTTATAATCTAAAATAGTATCTTATAATCTAAAATAGTATCTTATAATTTAAAATAGTATCTTATAATCTAAAATAGTATCTTATAGTCTTATAATCTTATAGTCTTATAGTATCTTATAGTCTTAACTATGACTTATCTTGTCTTGCACTTTAACTTATGTCAATACTGTCCATTTACATTTACATTCAATCTTCCATATTTAATCTTCCTATTTAAGACTAGTAATGCTTAGTTAAATCCTGGTTGTATATATTCACATTCTTATTTTTGATATTTTTTAGTACTTATTTACTTTGTATTTAATATTATATTGTGTTTAGATTTTAAAATATTGTGTTTTTTTTCACTCATATTGTGTGTTTGGACAACCTGCTGCTGTAACGCCACAATTTCCCAGTCAAGTCAAGGTAGTTCAAAATTTCTCATGCACGATACAGAGCCCGTCTGGAATTAAGGCAATGCTGCCATCTTGTGATGACTATCCATGATTGAAATATTTTAATTTACAGTGTGGCTCCAATTTGTTCCACAAGGAGGCGTAACCTCCAAGTGAGACAGCAAGCAGCAAAAGAAAACACACCTGTTGCTATTATTTCCATAAATGTCACAAATCACATACATGTGGTCTGGAACTGCCGGCGTTCAGGGAGCATCCGCTGACCGAACCGATGAACGACCTCTGGAAGAGGAAGTGCCCTGACCACGACGAGATATACAGGTAGGAGGCACGCTGCGCTCACATGTTGTTGTGTTTATATTTAAAAAAAATGTGGTTGTAAAAAAGAATCAGTTTTTGTCACCGCTGTCATGTGTGTCACTCCAGGTACTACTGCATGGATGACAAGGTGTGTGTGTGCAACGCCTGCACCATCGAAGGAGGTCACCTGGGACACACCATCAAGACCCTGAAGAACACCATGAAGGATCTAAAGGTAGACTTTTCATTATCATGGTTTCTGCTCATAGAATCAGAGTCTGAATTATTATTTCTCTCATAGTGATAATTATTAGGGCCTGACGGATATGTGATTTTTGGGGCCGATATCGATATTATGGAGAAAAAACATCCGATACCGATATCTTTCTTAGTTTTATCTTCGATCCGTAGAGATCCATATACAGATTTATTGCTTTGATCCCTCAAAGAGCAGTTATCAAACACAACTGTAAAGTAAATGAGCATGTAGGTGAATCACAGCTTGACACTCTGGAGAGTGATGATGCTCGTCGTATCCACACAGCAAACGTTTCTGGTGACAGCTAGATAGAGAACTGCTAGTGTGATACAACGATACTCAAATGAAATGTTGTTTCACCGGTGAAAAAAATCGACGAACATCTGCACATATCTGTGACAAAATAAGCCGATACCGATATTCACTTGATTGGCTAATATCGGCCGATATAAGCGACCGGCCGATTAATCTGTCGGGCTTTAATAATTAATGATTCATTTAAAGCTGCTGTGAAAAACATTTAGTTTGTGTTGATTTTTGGTGCCACTTGTGGACAAAGTAGTTCTTTTACATCCTGTCCTGCTTGTGTTTAAGAAGTGTTTTCACATCCTTCACTCCCAGTCGTCTGACACCTACCCTGTGGCATCACTTATAGACATTAATGATGGTGATATAGAAATATTACATCTTCTTACTGATGGTTTCATTTGATTTTGCAGCTCATAAAGACGCATCAGTGTTAATTTCAGTCTGTTTCATAACAACTAAAAACTCCTCACAGGAGCTTTAAAAAGTATTTAAGAGGTTAGACACAAACAAATAGGAGGAGGAGTCTGCTTTATTGATTTTAACCTCCTTTTGACGTTCAGCTCCCACACAGTCCTGTGATGAGTCTAGAATACTTGTGTGTGTGTGTGTGTGTGTGTGTGTGTGTGTGTGTGTGAGTGAGTGAATGAGTCACGTGATCCACATCCTGTGCTCTGATTGTCCTGCGCACAGTGTGCAGCTGAGAGGCTTCCAGGTTGTTGCCATGACTTCTCTGTTCAGAAACCGGTTCAATGCTACAAGCTGTTGAACTTCACGTCGGGTTTGAGTGAACGTTAACCAGGCTTCTTTTTTTTTCTCCCAGCCTTACTTTGAGATAATTTAACATCTTTGAACAGCAGTTTGTTTGCTATCAAAACAGAACAGGTGAAGCTTTATTATTCAGGGGAGGATGTAAAAAAAAAAAGCAAAAGCAAACAAGACCATCAGCGACAAGAAGTATTCTACATCATTGTTGTCAACATGCTGTGCACATGTGTTACGACCTCTTTATGTGATTTTACGACTTTCTGCGAGTCTTATTGGTGTGAATGTTTTTCTTACTTGAGCCTCAATCAAAGGCAATCTTTCTCTCGCTCTGTGATAGAGGATAAAGGTTTTTTTTTAATCTTGCCTTGACTTTAGAAATGCGTGTGTTGTTTAGCAGGGCACGCTGGATAAACAGCTGTACAGAGTGGAGAGGAAGTACAGCATGGCCGAGAGAAAGCTCCAGGAGCAGAAGGAGAAGGAGAGGCAGAACAAGGTAAGAGTTCACGCACTTTGACAGTGTTTTTGAACGTAACCTGGATGTCTACCGACTCACAAAAAATGTGAAATAAACCCATCCAGTCCTTTGTTTGTGGTCTGCATAAGTCTTATAACACAGAGAAAATGCTGTTTCAAATGTGCTCTCCTTGTGATGTCACAG